GAGCCCTTCCGGTAGGCAACGGAGCCCGCAGTTGGCCAGCTCAAGCAGCTGTAGGTTGAGGAAGTCTACTTTGGGCTCAAAAGTGCCAATGTAGTTGCCAGAAAGGAAGAGTTTGCGGACTTCGTACGCCGAAGAAAGGAAGGAAAGATCCAACTGCACATCACCGCGCTGCTCTCTTAGAGACAGACTATCCAGATGTCGGGCTTTGGTAAAACCAGTAATCTTACTGATGCGGTTCCTGTCGGCGTGGAGCAGGCGGACAGCTGGCAAGCGACTGATGTCAAGCTCCAAGATATCGTTGTCGCTGAGGTCAAGGTAGCGCAAACCGTCTAGACCCTGGGCATCTGCCGCAGTAAAGGCTTCGAGGCAATTCTTCGAGAGCTTGAGCGTCTGCAGAGAAGAGAGCTGTCCGAGTTCACGAAGCTCCGAAACTTTGTTGCCAGTCAGGTCAAGCTCGGTCAATCGGTGCAGCCTGGTGACATCGAAATCGGCCGTCTCGATCTGATTGTTTCGTGCCCGCAGCGAGAGAAGTCCATCATGCTGGTTCAAGCCATCCAAAGAGGTGAGCTTGTTGTTGTCGGCCCGCAGGCTCCGGAGATGAACGAGGTTCTTCAGCGCCGACAGACTGGACAAGTCGTTGTTGGAGATGTCGACGTATTGCAAGTTGGCGAGATGATCCCACGAGGTTAGCTCAGTCAACATGTTGTGCGTCATCTTGAGTTGTCGGATCGAAGTTGGCACTCCGTCGAGATGACCGATGCTGTTGTTAGACACGTCCAAGCTCACCAAACGACCACAGAACTCGTCCAGCATGTGGAGGCTCGACAATCGCTTCTCGCTCATGTCAAGTTCCGTGAAGTCCTCCCAGTAAGGCTCAAATGGCTCAATTTCCGTCAGGCGATCAACGAGCTCACGAACAGTCAAAGACAAGACCTTCTTAGAGCCGTCGCCAGTGACAAGACGCTGGTCCTCCACAACGTAGCTGACTTCAAAGCCGAATGACTTTTCGTGGTGGTTCAGTGTGAATTCTGACATGGGGCTCAGTGACAAGTTGCCAACGTTGTGACTGATAATGGCGCTTGCGTCCGGATAGAGACCGCCCATCCTCGTCTTGCCGGGAGTCTTGATGATGAAACTTAGACTCTTCTCTTGGTTCTTGGGAGAGACATAGCTCAAAGCACTGTTCTCGCCCAGGATACTGACTTGGCGCTCGTCAGCATTATCGCCAATGACACTATCCTCTTCCCTTTCGTCGATTCGGGAGACGGGCCGAGGGACAAATGACTGGCCGCGAAGCGAAAATTGTCGTGATGGACCACGAGCCGGAGCTGTACGCGGGCGTGGTTGCAGCAAAGTCCGCCGTGCAGTCTTCGTCAAGCTTTGGTATTTGCCTCGTTTGGACTCTTCAATCATCGAGTCCGCATCCACGAAACTGCCCTCGTCATCCTCGAGGCTATCGATGTCCTCAGCGGCAACATCCTGTATGATAGAGGCAATGGGCGAAGAAAATGATATCGTCATTCGTCTCCGGGACGGTGAGGAGTCCATGATGCGATCCTCGTCGAGCTGGATCTCGTGCTCAACGTCTCCGTCTCCTGCCTTGCTTTCAAGCTTGTGGATCTCAGTTCTTGCCTGTAGCGCAATATCCCGAGGCAGTGCCGCATCGGGCGACAGCGTCACAAAGCCTCTCCCGGATGAGCTCCGGGGCGTGTCCATGGAGCCCTTTGGTGATTGTGTCATGTTGGCTTCCCGCTCTTCAGCCTCCTTCTGTGCTGTCACCAATCTCAAATGTAGCATCTCTTTTGTTATGTCGACGGACAAGTCAGGAATGCTTGCAAAAGGGTCGTCTTCGCTGTCCTCAGACGGGATGACAACATGCGAACTTTTAGGTCGGATGCTCTCGCCCCTCCGTTTGATCCAAATGTTTTGTTGGCGATCAAGATACATGCTACCGACCTGATCCGGTATCAGATGCGACACGCTCTGCGGCGCAATCGTCTTCCTTGACTCAGAGCCTCGAGAGGAGCCAGTATGCATGGTCCTGTTGGTAGATGCCCCTGATGAGTGAGTACCGAAATCGTCATAGTCGGTAGAGCCATCTCGCTGTCTGTTCGGGTTCGCGGAGATACGAATGTTGGGGGGATCGCTGATGGTTTCGTCTCCTCCAAGATACTGGAGGTCATCAACATTGTTTCTAGAGCGACTACTCTCTTCGATCTGTCGCTCAACCTCCTGCGCAGCTCGGATGGCATCTTGAGCTTGATCCATAGATCTAAGCGAAGATGTGATGACGTCTCCCATGTCACTGAGCTCCTGGTACTTCTTGAGGTAATCCAGAATCTCTGGGTTTTCCTGGCGTTGCGGTGCTCTTTGCACTGGCTTCCCTTCGCGACTCGGAGGTCGAGATAATGGTTCCCTGGTCGACTCGTACGAGTCGTCAAAAGCAGGACTAGGTTCGCCGTATTCCGCATCGGATTCCTCCACACTAGTCAGGCCGCTAGGGGCCTTCACACCATTTCGGATCATGGCCATGATCTTGCCAGCCTCGTCCAAGAAGTCCTGAGTTCTGATAGATGGCTTACGGTCTGTGTCGAGTGTAGCACTGCGGTCATTGCCACTGGATGTGAACTGGGATCCACGGTGGGGGGTGCGTCGTACGGGCCGCTCTTCGTCTTCGTCTTCGGCATAGTCTTCGAGCAAGTTATCTTGGAAGGGAAACTCGCCAGCTTGCAGGGAAGACCTTGAGCTTGGGGTCGGAGTTCGTGGGCGTAGGATATGGCGCGTGGCCAGCACGCTGGGGTGTGCTCTTTGTTGCAAGCTTCCTGGGCGAGCGTCTTTGCGCTTCTTGCCCATCATGCTCTGCATCAAAGCATGGGTTTCCTGGACGGTGTCTAGAAGTGCATACCGCTCTTCCCTCCCATACGCAATGTCTGACTTGTGAAGTGTCCTCCTCCGCTTCGGCGTCGGGTCCTTCGATGGAGAGGTACGTGGTCGCTTCCCTTCAGATGCATCACGTCTCTGTGGGGTACCTAGCATAAACGCCTCGGCTCCCGCGAACTGGACATTACCTCTTTGAACGCTCCCTTCGCTGGCTGATGGTGTGTGCTTGGAAGATGAGGCAGTCGTAGTGCCGGACTTTGCTCGCTTCCTGGGAACAAACATCGAGGCCTCATCTGGCACCGGCGAGCCCGCGACATGCTCGAATCGAAGGACAGACCCTTCATCTTCCGATTCATGTTCAGATCCCTCGTCATCCTCGAAAAATTGGGACTCCTCCTCAAGCCGGATGGACAAGTCTTGATTGAATTGGTAACCTTCGAGATCGCCCGCACCAAACTGACTCACAGATCGGGAGCTCGTGGCCGTTTCTTGCTTTGGCACGGATAGGTAGTCGCCAGGAGCAGTATGCGGTCTTCGGTTTCTAGCAGCTGGGGCGAATTCACCGCTGACAGATTGCCGCGATGATCCAGATGTTTGATCCTCGAATTGACTGATGCGACGGAGCAGCGTCTGGTTCGTGAATGTATCGTACGGGCCGAACAACTTCAAAGGACTCGTGCTATTCGTTCCCGACGTGCCGGGTTTCTCCGGACTCGGGTTTGGCACACGCGGTGGTGGTGGGCTCTGAGACCCGAACCGAATCGAAGTGTAGCCGGGGGAGTACGTTCGTACACTTGGGAACTGCTTGGGTGTGCTAGCCTGCAGAGACTCTTCAGGAAGCATCTCAGACGTGTCAACGCCCATGCCAGGGCTGAGACCTCTGTATCTGAAGGACCCATCACCAGACCGGCCACCGCGCCGAGTGTTGAGGAAGCCTCCCTTTCTTGCATAGTCCTCGGTCGTCTCTGCTCTGTCGCTGTCCCCTTCTTCTACACTGCCGTCCACATCGAAATTGAGCTCACCCTGTGAGTCCAAAAGCATCTGATCAATGCGCAGTTTCTCGAGGCGATTCTGGAGCTGGTCGACGGGGAGTTCGGTGGGGGCGGAAGTTTGTTTTGCTTCATCCTGCTTCTGGCGCATCAGCGTGAGGACGATCGGACTGAAATCCTCGTTTCGGATGACACTCTGTCCGCTGGTCTTCCTAGAAGCGTCGTTCGGTGGTGCAAGTCCTGAAACAGAAGCCGCCAGACTTGACTCCTGTGCAAAGGTATTATCTTGCTGCGGACTGAGTTGGCTTTGATTGCTGTGATCGGGAGAGCCGTCGGTCATCTTGTAGGTAATGTGCGGCGCGCGTGGTCGAGGGCTCGGGCTCGGGCTTGGATCCATGTGGCTCCTGCCATCTGATTCGTCTTCGTCATCTCCGTGGTCCTCGTGCTGGCGGTGGAAAAAGGGCGGGCTAGAGGGCATTGTTGTGTTTTGTCGCACGCTCTGATCGGCGATGGAATTATCTTGGGGAGGAGAAGGCGGCTTGAACATGTTTTCGAGACCTGTGGCTGCAGAACAGAAGAGATCTCGTTGTTCGCCATATGCGACGTCGCCGTACACTAGCCTGCGCTTCCATTCCGGAGTGTCGCCGGCTCCTCGTAGTGGAGAAGACCTGATTGATTTATGATGTACAGTATTATGAATGACAGACCCATTTGTTGAGGCTGAGAATGCGCGACTTGTTTGACGTGATTGATCGTTGGGCTTGATCTCGCGGGAAAGCTTCGAGGGGCCCCTTTGGGACAGTGGAAGATTAATATCATTGGTGCTTCGTTCGCTGAGGACACCAGTACTCTTGTCGCTGTTTCCAGCACTCGAAGGTCGTATCCTACTGACGGGGAGAGGTATGCGACTACCGGATCCTTTCCCGCTTGGTGTATTGTTGTTATCTGTCGGCTTCAGAGGCGGCAACTGAGCTGGAGAAGTCTCGGATCCAGCTTGCGAGGGCCAATCCTCGGAGAGGGAGTCGAGCCAAGCATGAGCCATCGTGAGTTGGCGTATGCGATCGGGGTTGAGGGACTTCCGAGACTATAAGCAGTCCATCGAGGGGGGTGGCAGATCGTCGTCGTGAGTTAATGTCGCGGTCTGTGGTTTGCGGGGTGCTAAGTTTGGTGGCTTGGATGCGATTGAAGTCTGTTTACGCGGGCAATTGCAATGCAGAAGTCGCGCGGGAGAAAATGCAAATGAATAAAATGCAGAACGGCAAGCCGAAGAAAATGGCGAAAAGACTACTGGCGAAATCGCCTCTGCTGCGTCCGCTACCTGCGGTGACGTTTGGTCGTGATATGGGAAAATAGAGGTGTTGGTATTGTTTCGTGGGGAACGCGGTCGAGCGATCGCGTTTGGGGCCGGCGTTATGTCAATCTCAAAAGCCCACCCTCAGTGTTGAATTTCCCCGAATAAACATAACTAATTCAATGTTATGCTTGATTGGCAGGCTTCAGGTTGCTGTGTCAACCGCCACAGACCAACCTTTGGATGGAACCAGGCCGGGCCATGGCCGTGACCCAAAATTCCCCGATCGTCCGATGGCGCTAATCCTTCTATCGAGTCGTGGGGGTTGCATCTTTTTATTGCATCTACCTCTTATCGAAGTTGGAGTGAGGCAGGGTCTGTGCTGATCACCTGCGCCACAGCAAGTGCTCCAGCCACGGCGAACGCGAGATCCAAATCAATTAAACACGATATCACGTGTAGACCCGCCCTAGACGCGGATGTTGGTGCTGGGTCGCGTCGTCTGGTGAACGTGCACGGTCACCGACCCGCCCAATATGGGACCTCTTTGTCTGTTCATGTTTGTGCAGTGCGCTGGACCTGGTGACTTTGGCCTTTCAACGACAGACGACCGCAATCCGGACCACCGCCCGGCGCCAATGCGACCGTAGCGCTTCCGACTTCTCCCCTCCTTCGTCCCCGTTCCGTTCCTAAGGCTCATGATTTTTTACGACAAAAGTATTTTCATACCAACACGATGGATATGAAGGATGGCTGGAGAGTCCGGCGACTGGACGACGAACCGATGTACTGCGAGGCTCCCCACGATGAATCGGATATCTTGTGCGCCAGTCTTGACCACGAAGACCTCGAGAGCCTGAAAGAGAGGAGACGTCGATATGAAGAGGCTGCGACTCGATTTTTGCAGGGACATACGCCAAGGCTGCTTTCTACAGTTCTAAGAGGCCCTTTCGAAGGACCAGGCGCAAAAGGTTGGGTGAATCCATGGCAATCAAGCCGGAAACCAACATCAGCTGCCATCCCGCCACCGCCTCCAGTTGCTGTCGTCAAAACAACCACGGAAGTCGAAGAAACCATTGTAGAAGAAGTGAATGTCGAGGATGCAGCGTCTTGCCATCTACCGAGCCCCCGAAGCCTGGATCAACCCAACTTGAGCCCGCACCCTTTCATGGAAACAGAGGAACTAGAACGAGTTGAAGCATGGCGAAATACTACGGAATCTGTGAGCGATACACAAGATTTTGCTTGGTCACTAGAAGCCTCTCTCTCGCAGCCTCAGTCACAGACACAACGTAAGCGACGGTCAACAGGTTCAGAGTGGCTGAAGCGGCAAGACACCAAACGACGAAAGGCAGAGGATACGAACAGTTACCGGGAGGACTCGGCTGCTATCCAGCGGGATAGCGCACGACTGAGCCAAAACGTTGTGCAGAAACAAGTGGACGCTGCCATGGAGGATGACACTGCAAGCTTGGAGAGCTCTCAAATAAACCCACAAACCCCGCGCAAGGCCTTGAACTCAAGTGCCAGTCGCTCGCACCAGCAACAACTCTCACAAATATCCAACAAATACGCCAGTGCTGCACAAGATGAGATACCAGCGCCGCTGAGCACTCCTATCCAGACTCCCCAGTCCAATAGGAAGGCAGTGGTTGAGACTGGAGACGATGTTCCTCCCAGCAGTGTTGTCACTGTGGTCAAGGAAGAGGAACGGGGTGAATTCGAGACGCAGCAGGACGAAAGCTTCTTATTCCGTGCAAGGCCGAGGAACCATGCCATCAATACCTTGACCTCAAGCCCCTTGAAGAGAACGTCATTTGGCCAAGTTTCTTCCGCTGCTTCCACTTCTTCGAGCGAGAGCGACTCCCAAGGCGATGTCCAAGATTTGGAGGGTGACACTTGCATGGCAGACGACACTAAAGCTACTTCCCCAGGATTCAGCGAGGAAGGTGGAGATCAACATTCTCCAGGGAAAGATACAGTGCAAAGAGGAGAGAGCGGCGAGTCTATGTCCAAGCCCCTGGGCAGTGAAATAGCCCTCGAGGCGATGGAAACCGACGTGTGCCCCACGAAAACGACGGATGGCGAAATCTCAGAAATGGTTGAGGACCTTGATCAGCATCTGCCAGTTGAGACGGCCGCAGCAGCAGAAATCGCGGATTTGACATCGAGCCAAGAACCGACGGTTATGGCCATTGCTGCATCACAAGATCAAGAAGAGATTTTGGCACCGAAAGAAGCAAGCCCAGTGCCACAACCGCCGACGCCAGAAATCCAGGCCACTTCACCAAAGGAACCAGCAAGCCAAACCTCCAGCTCGTTCGCGGGCATACTACCGAACCTCTTCCCTCAAAGTCCCTGGTCGAAGCTGAGCCAATTCATCATCCCGCGTACTCCTCGTCCGCCAAGCACCACTGGCCAGAGCCATGAACAACTGACTAGTGTCAACACGTTCACTGCTGAAGGCCCCAATGCTTCGCGGACACCGGCAATACCATTCACTGCGTCAGTTGTAGAAACTTCTGTGTCTGTTGATGGAACGCCTGATCGAATAGTTGAGCGACCCCCAGCATGCACTGCTGATAGATTGGTGGACGCAGCCAATCTTCTCAACAGTCCCGCCGTACCAGCTTCACAACAGAGCCCGTGGAACATGGACGTGCCAGTCATTTCTCAGTCTCAGCAGCAACAACAGCCGAGGAACAGTGATGCAACGAGTACCATTGACCCAAGCTGCCAGAGTCCTTGGACGGCTAGCCCGACCAAATTGCGCCAAGCTGCTCAAGAAGCTCTTATGTCAAAGCTCTTTAATGTTGCCGAACCAGCTTCGCCTTCTCCGCTTGCTCCCACCGCTACGATGACGCCTACAGGTCCGGCTGTCACTATTGAACAGCCCGACTACGCCGACACCTCAGAGCCAGTTTCGCCTGAGCCCATCTTTTCTATCAAGTCCTTCGCGAACTTTCTGTCCCCGTCGCCCGAAAAGCCACGTCGGCGGCTCAACAAGACTCGCCTCAGTGGCGGTCACTTGCCTAGTACGCAGAACCTCATCGCCGCTACAACCAACAATCCATGGGAAAGCGTACAAAAGTCTGTCAAGAGGGTCAGATGGGCTTTACTGCCCAACGAAGTCGAAGGCGAAGAATCTCTGGAGAGCCGCAATCCTCACACGCCTACGACTCAAAGAGCTGCTTCGCCGCCGCCAGAAATCGCAGTAGCTGATTTGCCAACCGGCGAGGACGATCAGTATAAAAAACACTTCCAAGCTGTGTCGCTTCGAAAAAGGCTCCATCACCATCTCTTGCCCTCGGCATCTCAGCAAGTGTTGCAAAGCCCGGGCACAATGGCCATGGCAGAGGCTTTTGTCTCTGCTGACTCCTTCCGAGCACCTTCAGCCCCAGTGGCTTTTGTACATGTCGACGATGCCCCACTGGCGCAAGACAATGCCGACACGCAAGAGTCAGCCGTCGATGATGTTGACGACGTGCTTCGTAATCTTAACGAGTTTATCGAAATGGTCGATGTCGAAGCTGATCTCGCGAGAGCCAAGGAAGAAGAGCAGAAGCAGGTTGAGAAACAGCAACAGCAGCGAACAAGCCAGCCTGCAAGCAATAGCTACACAGGGGGCTTTACTTTTGACGGGATGATGGACGCAGGAGTTTGGGATTGAGAGTCGTGATAAAGGAGATGACGTGGACGATGCATCATATATTACTGTGTTCGGATGCAAGCAAGGAGCAGCTGCGCAAGCGGCGTCATTATGCGAATTATTATACTAGCGAGGTGTTTGGGGTCATGACAAAATACCACATCATGGGTGGAACAACTGCTTTGCTTTACTTACTCTACGACGAACAGGTAGTTGCTACTCAGTCAGTTTACTATACTTAGCGGTTCAGTCTTCAGCAAAGACGAGACCTTTGTCAAATGTTATTCAATCAGTAACCTGATGTTCGTGCAACTTCTGCTGTGAACGATCACTTGGCCGTTTGCAAGATAGGTCATGTGGTCAAAGTCGGCTACATTTCACGATGCCTCTGGAGTGCTCGCAAGCTTTCATCGGAACACCTCTCAGGACCCAACGCAGAGGTTTCTGTCTTGAATTTGTAGACGTGAAGCACTTTGCCGCTTACTAGTCCTCTATCTTCGCCCTTGAATCCAAGCAACGGAGAGCCTGATCGCTTGCAAAAGAAAATCCACGCGTCTGCACTGAGTACTGTAGCCTCGATGCTAGCAAGTCAACACTGCCCAGCCAAATCAGCACCCAGTCACCCAAAAGCTACCGCCAAACACTTCCAAAGGAGGGAGAGGGCGAACTCACTACATAATGACCGGGAAGAAGCACTCCAGCGTATACGCAACCCGATCCGCGTAGCTCGTGACGGGATTACTCTGCGATATATTCAACGAGTGCGTAACGGTCCTCATGACCCCCGTCACCGCCAGCGTCGCGAGCCGGACCTCGGTGCTCCGCACCAGATACCGCACGAATCCGATCCGGAGACCCGCCTGCGCCGACGCCGCCCGCGCTTCCGCGAACGCGCCGAGGAGGAAGTAGGCGCTCACGCATTCCGTCATGGCGAGCGGGCAAAAGTAGCCAATGTGCAGGCCGTTGATGAGGCTCTGCAGGCTGCCGTCGGCGCGGAGGATGTGCTCGACGCGGAAGACGATGATGAGGACGCGGACGACGAGGACGGCGAAGAGGGCGAGCCAGAAGACCGTGGTGAAGATTTTGCGGCGGGTGCCGCGTAGGATGTTGCGGAGGATGATGTAGCTGTAGAAGGGGAGGCCGGCTTCTTGAATCTGTTGCTCACGTGTAAGTCATCTGCATTGAGCTCCCACGCACGTTCTCGGCATCCCTTGCTTACCATCCAGAAGAAATCCCCAAAGGCCGCGACGACTGCTTTCCTTTCGAGAGGGTAGTACGTCTCGTCGTAGTAGGCATAGTAGCACAGCCCGTTCGCGATAGCTCCCGCCGCCGAGGAGACGATGGGAACGACGGCGACCTTGGAGAAGGATGTGATACCGATGACGAGGAAGCCGAGAAGTACGTTGAGCGCCCCGACGGTACTCAACGGCGACCAGCTCAGCTCGAAATATGGCAAGTTGGACGGCGACTTCAAGGTGCTGTCAAACACGTTGAGTGTCCCCGAGGAACCCATACCCGGTTAGCGATGGGCTTTGGCTACCCAATGAGGCCGAAATTCGAGTGTCTCTAGGAGCCTCATGTGTAGTTGCTGCCAGTAGCTTTCAGGCACTTCCTGTGGTTCGTCCGTGTTTGACTTGACGTTGACGTCTGCTCCTAGGGAGGAGGGTTGGCATTTGGAGCGATCGGGCCATAAATGAGTCTTCAACCCTGTCGACGGCTGTAGAGATGCCTTTCTCAAGCTCGGCTATTGCAATCAACGGGCCGGCGGGCCGTTTGCTTCAGTCTACCACTGCCGTTTATCAGCTTCGAATCGGTCGCCATGTCACTGGGTGCGGAGAGTTCTTCTACCTCTGGCATCCAAACCTCTGAAAGCCACGGAACGGTGGGGGCGGGGTTGTCAAAGTCGAGCAGTTTGAGGAGGATATCGGTCTCGGAAGGACTATAACTAGCGGGGTTTGACATGGACTTTCGAGAGGCTTTATCTCGGAGCCTCACCGTCGGGACGAGAAGAGATGAACCTAAAATCCGTATGGACGGGTGCGGTTGACGCCGCGTGCCATCTGCGGCACATCGCGTCGGCACCCTTCACAGGGGATTCGACCCAAAATAAGTTTACCAACTTGACACTCGAAGATCTAGCCCCTTCTCTATGGCCCGTCTCGTATCTGTACACGGCGCGGCTAATGTTGGGAAGACTAAATGGTATGACCGGAGAGTTACTGCCCAAAGTTTCGACACATTTGCCGTTTGGGTGCCAGTCAGCTGAGGGCTCTAAACGCGTTCTCCTTCAGTCCGATACGGTTTACATCATTGGGACTATCGATCTCTGAGCAGACAACGGTTACCTTTTCCTCATTCCATAAAGATACCTCGGGAAGAATCCAGTGCTTGACGCAAGCATTGCCCATTGACAACATCAACTTTAGAGCTCTGATCATGATTGCGCGTTTATCCAAGGTTTCACCTTATCAACAACCGCAACTTCAAACCTTATTCTATTCAAGAATGGTTATATTAGCAACAGATGCGTTTTCTTTCCGGCTCTTTCTTTCGACTCTTCATAAACTCGATATAGACGTCAATGTCCACCAATTCTAATCAGTAGTTGAAAACTTATCGAGACGAAGTACCTTGCCCGCTCAAAGGTATCACTAGAGGCAGAAGCCACCGGGACATGCATGAGCTTCAGTATGAACTAAAAGGCCATAAAATCAAATCCATAGTCCACTGTTTACTAACAAAACCATCTCTTACTTAGGCCCATGTAGCAGATTTTCCGGTGATCCAAAGTTTGTGATTGAAGTTATCAATTCCCCACTGCAGACAATACAACAAGTACTCCTTCCAACGAACAGAGATCGAGAGTCAAGCTCAGACTCTGGATAACATGACGCATAGGCTGAGGTCAGGCTCCTTTCTCTCTCCCAGGTTTGCAGATGAAAGCCCGGTCTCAAGCATACTCAACTCCCTAATGACTTACAATCTGACAATTCCCAATCTAGGTGCAGTTTCGTCGAGCAATTCATGCTGCTATACTGATCCCGCCGTCGACAAAGCACATGCTACCGTCCCACTCCATGCTACATGCCAGGAGCTCACTGCTTCGAACACGACGCCCAACACCACCGACATTGTCTCAATCTCAAGTCAACCTCTCAAAATGGTTTCATTGACGTCAGTCTTCAAAGTCCAAGTTAAAAAACGAAGCTCTCACCCACTCGTCGTCGATTCCTGGCTTTCAAACCACTCGTTTGTGAATGGTTCATCCTCAACAACGATATGAAAACCTGAGCTACAGTTATGGTTTTCTGGTAAGCGATGTTTCAAAGGGGATACACCTCATGCAAAGTGTAATGCCTCCAGTCTTTGATTCTTTTTCTCCTAGTCGAGATTCCCAGGACCTAAATACACTCCGTCCCCGTCAAGGTAAGATGTTGAGAACCGCAAGCAAGCACATTGCCTGTGGTTCGTCAGAGTCTTGAGATGCAGGGAATTCAGCCAACGCACTATCCCTTTGGCCAGATATCGCAAGCTGCCGGGGCTTCATGATTACCACTGAGCAAGGACGCACTTCGGGTGAGATGCCGAGCTAACGCATCTCGTCAAACGTAATCATGCGTCAAGACAACCAAGTCTCAGTGGTTCTATCACCAGTCTATTTATCGTACCTGCCCAATAATTCTTATTCACCATAGCAGCAGAAGCCCCTACTTTAACCAAACTCGAAAAGAGCATACTCCCTACAACATCTTACAATTCTGGTCCCCCCTTGGATGATACTCGAAGCCGGCAAGACCGGCTCCCACTTTCGTTACCAGAAAACGATCCCAACCTTTGCGTTGATGGCTCAAGGTTCTGAAGGCGGCCTACGAGTATGTAGCTGAGATCGCTTTCCAATTATCAATAACCCATGAGATCGAAGTTGCCAGGCGTCTTGCTACCACTCGGTTTAGCCTGTCCCCGATATTCTCGAGATATTATGAGTCTTTGCTACGGCAATTGAGCAGAAGGCTATTAAGAACGGGATAAACGAGATAGGTAATGTAGCACCATGGAGTTTGACTTCTTCGAAACCCGAAACCAGAAACCCGAGGAATGACTTGGAACTCTGACAAAGTGCAGCATTTACTCCAGCCTCGACGGAGCCTTGCACATATTTCCCACCAGGTACATGCTATCCGCACATCAAACAAGTCATCACAGAACAAAGGACATCGGAGGCGGTACCTTCCCAGCAACAACACCCAAATAAACGAGCTCATTCCCATACCCAGTCATCTGGGCCCCCAACGCAATGAGCTTCGACCCACGGCCCACAACTTCTATAACAGACGATCACCACAGGAGGATTAATCTAAACGTGTCGCGCAGGTCGCAGTCCGACTGGATAGATCCCCGGTTTCCCATCAAAAGAGCCCCAGGCACCCACGTGGATGATATACACCGGAAAAGCTACTGCACATCAAGAGGCAGCTTGTCATTGAGACAACACATCTAATTACCTCCTTTCACAAGTATCCTCCTCTCGGTGTCTCCTTCCGGGTTCTCATCCCCAGAGTTCCGGAAGCCTTGACCGTACCCATCCATTAGCAGCAGCTACAGCCCCCCCCCCCCCCCCCCCCCCCCCCCCCCCCCCCCCCCCCCCCCCCCCCCCCCCCCCCCCCCCCCCCCCCCCCCCCCCCGCCCCCGCCGCCGCACCCGGCCCCCCCCCCTGCGCCGCCGCCTAGCCCCCCCCCCCCCCCACCACCGCACCCCCCCCCCCCCCCCCCCCCGGGCTCACCGACTCACCGTCTCCAAGGTTCAAGGATCTCAACTCTCGCGGTGAGCCAGTGCCCTGGGTACACCTACCTACCATAGCAGGAGGTAGGTTTCCGAACGATGAACCACATGGCGGATCCCCAATCTCTCTTTGGATAAGAACACAAGAAATGAGGAACCCGTGAAGGTCAATGCCATCCTCAGTGCAGCCGCGCCCGGACTCCTCTCAAAAAGAAAGATTCCATCGTCCCATGTCCGGCCGGACGTCTGGGGGCGTGCGTGTACTCCGTATGGCACCTTCGGTTACCGGGCCCCATGTGGCCCGTATCATTGGGACGTGAAGCTCCACGAGGTCGTCGTTGATCCTATGATCAAATTTGTCTTCACTTTCGAGTCTCCCATGTATGTTTGTCATCCACCTTTACCCGGTGTGCGGATAGTGTCAGAGCAGGACCATGCCCCTGAATTGGGGTTTCAGAGCGATCGACAGGAACATTTCAGGGCCACAGGACCGGTGGCGATGTGAAGCAGGCTGCGCCTCCCTAGCAATCCGGGGAAGGGAATATGGTTTCCGGCAGAGCCTCAGGGGAAAAGTGCAAAGCTGTGGTAAGATGAGGTGCCGTGACGCCGGGCATCTCTCACAGGCTATGCTTTTTTCACGTGGTCGGGTTGATAGGATTCAAGACTGAGGCGCCACCGAGGCTTGAGCTCACCCGGGCCAACCCCTTGTCAAGGCTATACGAACTGAGTTCTAGTCTCCAAGTGCCCAGTAGCAACAAGGCAAGTAGAATCTGACCTGTGTACGTCCGGGTGAAGAAAAGGACCCAACTTTGTCTTGAGGCAAGTCAAGCCGAATCGTTAGTATTACGCCCCAGAGCCCTCTGCGGCAAGTGCACAACCAAGACGCCAGAAGCACGCAATCTTGTACGATTGCGGGAAACACACATTAATTGCCACGAGATCAGACAATATCAATCCGTCTGAACAGAGTACCATCTTTGGCGCGGCTATCATGCAGCGTACTCTGTACCCGGCCGATCATACCAGAGTACCACGCAGGTCTTGCAAGCTTTTCCTATTTGCCATGTAAGTGCACACATGGCGTGGCCGGGCTTTGCTCATAGCCAAGGCAGGACATTTCAGTGCATAGATTTGAACAAATCTGAGCGGCTGTCTTTTCAAGACGAGAGCGAAAGCAAGTAAAGGCGTGGGCGATGTGTTAGGTAACTTGGGTTGATGTCTTGGTTGGGCCGTTGCGAGGCGGTCTGACGAGCACGTTGTTGGATGATTGGCGACGGAGGGTCCATTGGAGGTCTGGCAGATAAGTTGCGGGCTGGGCTTGGCGCAAGCTTGTTCATCCAGACTTCCGGGGACGGGGAATGGGACCCCCTCGAGCTGATAGAACCCCAAAAACATTGGCATCTGCAAAGGGCATTTTGAGACGTGTCAGAAAAGCAAGGTGGGTTTGGCTCAGACCGCAGATAAACGCTCCGTCCCGTCTCGACTGCCTTTGGCGGCAAAACTATTCCGCAGACCGACGAAACAAGGAGAAATGATATTGAAATCGAGGCGAGTGGCCGGGACCGGGTTTATGAACCTTGTAGATACACAGGGTTGACGCTACTCCGAGAGAGATTGCCAATGACCCAATGGAACCGATCACGGCCTCAATTTCAACGTGGTTTGTCTTTGGTGATGGGTTGGTGGTGTACTCGATTGACTAATGCCATGACGCTGAGGAACATTTGCGATAGT